TAAATAAAAATTAAATAAAAAAATTATATAAAAATTATATCTATATCATTGCTTTTTAATTTATTTAGACAAATTAAAATCACCAATAATTTTTATTAAATTCAAAAATAATGACATGATATTTATTTTAAAAATAACTAAAAAAAAATAATTTGAACCGAGAGAGTTTAATCTTCATTAAATCCGCTAGTTGATGAAAAAATGAGAAAAAAGCTCCATTGTTTTTACAACTTACTTAACCTTTGTATAAACGGTGTTGTAAGGTCCGTTAATAGAGAGACAATAATTGACTTTTTATTCAAAATTTCAACTTTTGATGATCTTGATGATTCTTTTTGTAATAAAAGGATAACAGTGAACCTTTAATTGTACAAAGTTCAGGGATTTTTCTTGGCATTATACCTTCTCATGTGCATGTGGGGCTATCAACCCGTTCTCATTTGGACTTGCTTTTTCAGGTTTGTCGCGTTTCAATTATTGTCGACGTATTCCTTTCCCTTGCTTTTCGAAGTATTTTCCAGGAAATCAACCATTTATCCTGCTTTTTTCTAAACATTTTCTAGGAAAGGGCTAAAAATCAGTTTGGGTGTTTCTACGAAAGCTCATAAGGGTCATAAGGAGTTCTGCTGATGAAGCCATTCTTCATTATTAAAATTGCTTCGTCGCCATTTTTATGAACTCTCTTTTCTTCCATAACTTTGTTTCTCCTCTGCAAGCTTTAAGATCTTAATTTTCCAGGTAAATATATACATACAAGCAGTTAATTTCTACTATTTTCACTCATTTATTTGTTTGATGCATAAAGACAAATTAAGAAATTCTTTTAACAATTTGTTATGGTATATATGCTTTTGTTTCATAGATCAGATGTCTTTAACTAATTTCTTATAATTTAATTTTCTTACATATTTATTTTTCTCCTCTTGGTTTGATGACAGTTATTTTTGCACCGAAGTACCCTGCGCAAGGACTAAGGTAAGGAGCTAGGTTTGCCTACTTTCTTGTTATTTTGATCATACAAATTTTCAAGATCCGGTATACATGAGACATTTTTTCATATAAAAGATTTTAGAGTTTAATATATTTTACTTTTAAGAATCTCACCTAGTAAAATAAAATATATGGAGGAGAAAAATGTGTTACCATAAATTAAAGACGTTTAATAACACTTTCATTTCTTATTTTTTGTTTTAATTTCATGCAAAAAAATTTA